AGTTAGTGATGCATTTTGCATGGTTCTGCGGTAAACAGATTAAAAGGGGACATGTGAGATGCTGGGGCTGTTAAGAAAAGAATAGCTATAAATACAGTTGGTGCATTTCTATTTAATCAGCTTAGTTCTGAAACCAGAGGCATTAAATCAGAGAAACCAACAAGACAATTAATTCCTCAAAACATTTTCTTCCCAAGGAAAGTTTAGAAAGACTTAACACCTGGCCTGTATACTCCTACCTGACACGTCTTTGGATAGCTGACATATAAATTACTTTTATTTCTCTTCAGGAACATAAAATTATTTCTGATTATGGCTAAAATATTTGCCAATGAAAGTAAAATGTGATCACTTTTTAAACCAAGACGAATGACAATTAATTATAAAGCAAATGAAACATGACAAAGTGCCTTTGAAAAAAAGGTTTATACAGACTGGTCCAAAATGTGAGGTTTTTTCTCTGAAAATACAGGGTTTCAATTTAGTAACATTTTATAAGAAAAGCATCTGTTTGCTAAGGAATATCCTTTGTCAAGCTTCCCAGCACAAATTCCAAATATTTATGATTTTCCACCCCAAAAAATACAAAAGCAAACTTCCTATAAACTTCATTTACACAGAAATTTTTCTATGGATAGGGGTATTTTCCACCCAATCAATGCCTCTGCAAAATCAGTAATCGATACATTAAGAGAAACATTTTTAATGCACTTTAATCATAGGAATTTAAAAATACATACAGTAGCATCATCACTAGGAATAAAAACCTGATGGGAAAGAGGTACTGTCTTACACTTCTGAGTCCCTCCACTTACTACACAGAAATATTGGCTACATTCTCAAATCAGTCAATCGATAACCAAAGCGGTTTCCAATTTTGTAACTGGATCAATCAGCTGGAGAAGGACTGTGGCTGTCCCCAGAAAGGTTATAAATATATTCTTTGCAGAAGCTGACACAGAACTAGTTCTTGCCTTCCCAGTCTAGCTCGCTAGCAGAGTCAGTGGATTCTCAAATGGAGGACTAAAAAGAAAAACGCTACCAAGCATTTTGAGCATCCCCATGGAGTTCACTGAGGGATTTAAAAGTGCTCCAAACACAACTAATTCATTCAGCCCTATGTTCCCCCATGCAAGCTACGTATGAGACCTAATGCAGTCTCTTTACTGAAGCCCCGGTGTTGCGCACCAGTCCAGAAATGTCCAGAGAGCTGATGTCATATCCAAAAGAGAACACTGAGGGCAGCGAACAGATTGAGTCAGGTGGGATTTTGCCAACGCATTAGTGTGATTCTATTTTCTGTCAACCAGGCAACAAGACTCCTAACTACTGACAGGAACAGGGATTTGCAGATTCCTAAAAGAACCTTTCTCTTTCTAAGCCTTTTTAAAATGGCTGAAAAATGAGGACACAGAAGGCAAAGATGCTCTTGGGAGGGACAGCTCTGATGTTCCACCAGGCAGAATGCAAGATGGACCATTCAGCAGTACACAGCAAGAGAGCAGCAGTCATGAGTAAAATCCTGACAGCAGAGCTGACTGCCAGGCATCTGTTCCAGACACTAGATAATGTTGTTTTCTTGATATTTGCCTTTCTTCTACAAGAAAGAATCCATGAAGAGGAGAACTGGGAGCTGAAGGGCATGATGTCATTTCACTGCGGTGCCAATTCTGTGGAAGATTCTCCCTCTTCTCCATGTCCCAAACCAAGGTGATAGTCAGGGATGCCCTAGTTTCTCAAGGACAGAATAAAGAAACAATATATTTTCCAGGTTTGTGCAATGTCCATATGCCATAGTTTGTTTCCCAGCTCCTGCCCTGGACCACAGTTTGTATGTGCTGCTCCTAAAAAAATTCAGCTTTGCATCACTGAGGTGCAGGTGATGATCTGAATCTCTGGGACGGAGAATGGGATGAAGATAGCCTAGATCTAAACTACTACATCTGTAATCTGGAGAGCACCAGGCTGGCTACATGCAATTTGCACCTTACCTGCCTGTTCAATATGGTAATTAGGTGCAACATCCAAGAAATCGATACATTTCAAAAGATTTATTCAACACTGCAGGAACTTTGCCGCCACTGGTCAAGCTCTCTAATTTCTCTATTCCTTCTTGTTATGCACATGGCATACATCACAGGCACGCACACCACTGCACTCCCAAAGCCTCTCATTTTAACAAAGGCTAGCACAAAACTAACTTTCCCATACTTCAACAGAGACCACTCCCTGAAGATCAGAACGGCTCAGCAGGCCTCAGATAGAACTGAGATTCATGCCCTGCACTGCTGACCACGAGTAGGACTCATCTTTGAAACTGAGCAACACAAACACTCCTCTGTTGCACTGCTTAACTGTCCTGAAGGACTACAGTGTCTTTATGTCAGTACTCACATGAACAAGCTTAGAATACGGGACAAAATTAATTTCTTCAGCTTTTAAAGAAAGAACTCCAACCTTCACACAGAAAGTGGAGTGCAGGGTGTGCCCCCGGCACCAGAATTACTTGGACTTTGAATTACAAGCTACAGCACTAAGCTAGTTCATCTTCTACACTTAAAGACAGCAACTTTTAGCAGGACAGGATGAACTTGAGACTTGTGCATAATAGGGACAACATGTGTCTCCTACATGGGTTGTATAAAATCCTAAAAAAATTTACCTACCATTGCTTCCAAAACTGGTAACATGAAAGGTAATTCAAGTTAGGAGTGAATTAATTGAGTGCCAAGGGTGATTTGAGAGTATCTGAAAATAAAAAGACACTTAAACAATAGCCTAATACTACAGCAACGTAAGCTGCTTTGAAATACTATTTTTGTAATGACATGAATCTGATTAGACCCAGGTGACTCTGTAACGACAGAACAAGCAGAATAGGCATGTGGCTAACTAGTAATTCATTGCTATCTGCTCTTCTCATTTGTATTTCCAAACAGATATTCCACACAAAACATACATTAAAAAAACATTATTGATGTTGAAAAGTTATGCACTCAACAGCTAAGGAAACGCCAAAATTAAAGCTGTCTGTGCAAATTTAATTTGGCTTTCTTGTGCATAAGTGAAATCATTAATTACATACTGATAGGGAGAAGACCAGAGTTAAAAATAACTTGGATTTTATGTACAGGTTTGTTTTTCCCTGGGGTCTGGTGGCTAAAAGGGCCTTTCCTGAATACAGAAGAATGACCTCTTTGCCTCTGCTTAATGGTCTCTGCAAAACCTACAAGGATGAACTAATTACAGATGACAAATAATACGAAGCCAGTGTAACAGGCATCACAGTCTCAGATTTAGCACAAAGATGCTGTTGGGGGAGATATTTTCTCTGTGCCCCTGCTCCACAGAAGAAAGTAACTACTAAGCAGGTAACGGTGAGAAAAACCTCACAGCAAAGTGTATTAAGAGATGGAAGCAAGTGTCAAATATTCCTGTACATCATCTGCTCTCTCCACCCCAAAACCTGAATGGGGAATTGCCACCTTGCCTGCGGTGGATGAAGAAAGCCTGAGGTTTCACAAGAGGAAAGGACAGAACACCAATGCAATAGAGGGTTCATCCTTACTTCCAGTTTGAGACCAGGGCTGCTACCAGACTTTTCTGCCACCAGACTTTCAGCCTTTCTACTGAAAGAACTCAGGTATTCAGAAAAAAACATATGCGAAAGCAACCCATACTCACACAAGAGAGCCACCCATATATTATCCCTGCATAGTGAGGAACCAATGAAGACTGCTGCTGGCCCACCATGCAGTGCTGTCTTTTACAGAAGGTAGAAGTTCCCGTGGGTGAATGATACGGGCAAAGAAATCAATGCAGCACAACTGGAAGCACCGTAATAAGATCTAGAGGGCAACAGCAACTTCAGTAATTTATTAGAAAGAAAAATCAGCCCTTTCTGGGTCAGATTGGTCAGATTCAGCTCTTGGAGTGAATAGATGCTGTCCAAGGCAGTGTCTAGGAGAGCACAGCCTCCCTCGCTTAGCTCAGCTGTCCTCCATTCTCTCCTTTTTCCTTCTCTCACCACTGCTCTGCTAAAGCCATGCAATCCTTTCTACAACAAAGGCAGCGCTCCAGTGCCTACTCACCTCTTTTCTATCTCAATTCCCAGGCACGTTGTTTCAGTTCTCCCCCTTTCTCTATAAACTTGTGGCAAGTCCTCTTTTATTTTGCCTCCGCTCAACCCAGGGAGATCACACAGGGATGTGAGCCTAACCTCTAGATGCCCACAGGACACTGAAATACTCTCACGCCCCCACGCAGGACCCAGAACAGCCCACAGCAACCCAAAGGTGCAAAGGCAGAGAAGCACCACCTCAGCCCCAAAACAGAGCAAATACCATGGAGACAAGGTCTTTGGAGAGTTCCTCTTGATAAATTCGAAACTCTGGTAAGGATATACAATGAAACACTTTTCCTAAAGCAATACAGATGGCTTTTCAATAGCTTATACCACTGCTAACTTTGAGTGCGCTATCACATGGAGAGCCAAAGGTCACTGATGCAACAGATAACTTACCACACTTGAGTTTCCAGACAGAGCTTTTAGAACTAAAGCTACCAAGAAAATTTTCACTTGAACTAAGCAATGTTTAGTTATTTTTCTTAGCACTAGACGTGGAAACAACAGAACTGTTTTCGCTGAACTATTTTTGGGGTTTTTTAAGTCAGTCTGTAGCAAACATTACCATGGCAGTCTTGTTCAAAAGTTGCAGCTTCTCAGCTGATTTCTACACTTGGAAAAAAAAAAAAAAAACAGATTCATGCTGTTTGGTCCCAAGTATATTGCTGCCTCTCTCTTTTTGTTAATTAGCTGTACCATATTAGGACTATAGATCCTGGTTAGAACTCAGATTCCTGTCTACTAACTCCGTACAAATACATGAGAAAAAGAAAGAGCTCACTTGGGGAACTTGCAGTCTAACTTAAAATAAGATCCAAAAGGAGGAAATAATTCAAACTTTCCAACAAGTTTTTCCAATGGAAAAATGTGCTTTTAGCGTGTGCAGTTTAGTAAGAATCAAAGCATTTCATCAAAACAATGGAAAGATTTTTTTTATAGCATTTTCCTAAGGAAAAAGAAGCTGACATTAACTATGTCCATGTTTTTATAGTTAATACTTAATATTTCATTAAGATAATTTTTTTTACTGAATTGAAAAAAATTAACTATTAAACCTCTCAATGTTTTGTTTATATTGAGGTGTTGGTTATTTTTTTTTCAAATTATGCAAACTCTGTTTTGTCAAGGGTGTTTTAACAGTTTCAATTTGAAGTCTGTGGAAAGCTTCAGACAAAGGGAAATTTTTGCTTTTCAGTCATATTCAGAACCGTCAACATTTTACCTTACACCCGGTCCCTGGCACCCGTGGTACCACAGCAGAGGAGACATGCTGCTCCTGTGAAGATTGGGAATAACAGCTCTAAGTTTAAGCAGGTGAGCACTGCTGTGTAGGCTGCATGAGCACTGCCAGTCATTGTTCTGCTTCTAATGTCTTCATATGAGCTTAATTATTTTCCTCTTCTAGTACCCCCTTTACAGCAACAGGAGCAGAGTTAGGCTACCACCTAAGCTGTCCTAATGCTTTGAGAGATTCCTTCTCACTCAAGGTAAAAACTTAAAATTCATCCAAAGACTGTAATAGAATATTAAGAGGAAAGCAAACAATGAAACTGGTACGCATGTTCAAAGTTACCTGGTACAAATCAACAACGCCAATGCACAGACAAATCACTCCAACGTAAGCTGAGTTTCTAGCTCAGAAATCCTCAGCTCACTTTTCACTCCAAAGTCTCATCCAAGTTTAGCAAACACAGAAGACTCCAAACTTTATCTGTCCCAACACCTCTTTGTCTCAGTTTACAAAGAAAATGACATATCAAAATTCTTAGTAAAAAGGAAAGAAATGTCTTGTTTCAGGCTACTCTTCTAGACTTCTCCTGCAAAATTAGTGTTCAAGGGGTGAGAGTAGCTCTGCTGTTCCTCTGCACACATAAGGCTCTACCAAAGTCTAGGGGAAGACTACTGGGGCAGGAATCAGGCACTAATTAAGCCACAAAGCATGGAAATGCAAGTATCTTCACAGCTGGATTTTGTTCCCATGGAAATCAAAGGCCAAACTCCCATTGTCAATAACATTGCAAAATCAGGCCTCTCCACTTCTTTCAAGGTTGGATGCTTTCATTATTGAGGTTAAAATGAACAGTCAGTAGCCTGCTCTCTCTCATCAGGGTTTGCTCGGAGATTTTTTACTCTTTTATTAATTAAAAAAAACCTCTTAAGCTCTCATGATAGCATAGCAATCACTCACCCAGTGTAGAACTAGTAAATTTGCAAACCTTGAGTGGAGAAACACTGTATAAAAAGCAATAAAAAAAGGAATATTTTAATAGGCATCATGATGAGCTTTAGGGGATTGTGTAGATGTACTGCAGTGAGTGGTCTTTCTCTGATTTATCCTTAACCACACCAAAAGTTGTGAATAACCTGTGGTACTCCAGTCTGTAATTAAACCAGTAAAAAAATCAAGCTTAAAACAACCACCAGTGACACTGAACCCCCACGCAGTGGGGCTCACCTCCTGGGACGCTGTACCATGCACCGCCATTAGTTGTTCCATCCACAAAGCTGCTGTCATCGTCATTTTTACGACACGGTGGTCTGTTTGGATCAGACATAGCGGGATTAAAAGAAGAATAACTGCGAGCCAGGCTTTGAAAAATAGCATCATCAGGGCAGGAGCTGTATTCGTGAGCGCTGCCTAAGGAGGAAAAAAGAGTCCAGGAACAAGGATTGTTAAAATGGCAGTCATACCAACTGGGCTCACAGCCTCGATTACCGGCACTGCACAGCAGGACTGTGCCTGGAAATTCTCTGTACATGAGTAAGTGTCCTACAGCATCACAAACTAATATAGCATTATCTTAATAACATTAACATTTCCCCAATACTTTGTCAATGGGGCAACCTGGTACAGGCAATTATTAAGGTGACTATTCATATCAGTCCTAATATTTATGAAAATATTAATGTCAAAGTGCACCACAAAATCTAAGCTATTCTAGGCTTTAGACATTTTCTTAGTACACACAACATAGAAAAAGGTCTCTCCCAAAAGAGTTTTACAGTCTGATATTAAAAGGATTTGCAATTAAGCTGCGAGAAAGTAGACTGCAGGAAGACAATCACAAACAATACCATCATCTCACAACCATTTCAGTCATGTGCACATCCCCTAGTGGCAGAAAAAACAAACTAATATTGCTGTGCGCTAAATGATAACATCTCTGCCACAACGTGGTCCTTTTTAGATGGGACCAATACTGAGAAAGTGGAAACAATGATGGCTGTTTCTATTAGCACACTAGCGCTTTCAGAAATTCACTTTTTAAAGGTGCAAGTAGAGAAACTTTAGATCATAGAGGCAGCCAAGACACATCTCTCTCGCCTCAGTTAACAGGGTACAAACAGGCCCAGTTAGTTTCAGTGCTAAGCTGTCGTGATTAAAATATCTGAGGGACCACGATTCCCTCAGGTATTACATCATTTTTGTGATGTAACTCTACCGAAGCAAACTATCATCTTCAAAACTAGAAAATGTGGTCATACAGTGACTAGCTTTAAACATGTGATTAATATGCTCAAATAAGTCATGACAATGCAATGACATGATGTTTACAAAGCAGACCTTAGGCAGCAGTGAAATAAGCATAGAATGTAATTTCTATCTCCTACTATTTCGTATTGACTTCTATTACATACCACTCCGAGTCTCATCATAAGGATAGTTTGCAACAAGGTCTCCTCCATGAAGATTGGCAGAGAGCACAAAGGGAATATCCATAATCCAGTGAATGACACCTTTTGTTTCAGGAGCAAGCTACAACAAAATAGCATTACCAGCAGTTACAAATTCATAATTCAACGTAGCGACTTATTCAATTTTATAAAGTGGGCTTAATTATTATCACATATACTGTGCAAGACATTGAAACGAACCACAATTTTATTTTGGCTTCAGAGAGAACTGAATCAGTCCTTTACATCAGATTTATACTTAGACTTATATTAATCTACTTAATTTATAAAACTGGTGTAAATTACTTCAGAATAAGACCCCAAATAAAGCAATCTCAATCTTCTACTTCTTCCCATTATGGCTAAAATAAGCCTACTAAATTTTAAACCAAGGAAAACAAGCTAATTCAAAATAAACGTTGGTAGGTTTTTCTCTGCACAGAAAGTAAAATTACTTCATTTAATAATTTGCATTTGAAGACAAAATATGGCTATTAAGGCCACAATCCTATGGGACTGCAGGCGCACCACTGTATTTTCTAGAACCTCCTCTGGGGGTAAACAAAAGAAGATAAAAATCCCTCCAGATATACGCCTGTATATTTAAGGCTTAAGCTTAACAAAAATGCATGTGTTATATGTGAGAATAGCTATCTAGCCAGCAGTGTAATTATACACAAGTGAATTTCTGGCAGTGGTAAAAATGCAGAATATCTGCAAGAATAGCTTCAAACCAAGGGAGAAGACTACACAATCTCTGGCTTTAAAAATTAAACATGTTTTGTGTGAGGAATTGTCTAAGGATTAAGCAATGTGGATCAAAAGGGTTTACTACAGCAAAGCATTTTGAGAAAAACTTCAAGAAGCATCAAATGGATAGATTTAACAAAATGAACAAAATATTTAGAAGAACGTGAATCGTAAAGACCACACACGCATCTCTTACAGGTCGCTACGTGCCTGCTTGCGTAAAAGGGAAGAGGTGTGCATGTAAGTGACCCGATATTCAGCCCCTACTTACCTTCGGGTTCTGGTCCACAGCTTTTTTCATGTTTTTCAGCAGATGGTTGTTTGGGCCACCTTCTTTCTCATTAACATAGACTATTCTATCAAGATCAGGGAAGTTTCGATTTAGATCTATCCCTTGGGCATTACTTCGACCAACAAACCAGTCTTTAAGTTCACCGGGCTGAATGAGGAAAAGGAACAGAAAGAGAAGGGAGATGAGTAGACTCAGGAGATTACATATCAAGGTTTATATGGGCATATTTAGCCACGCATGTTCAAATCATGGGTTTTCTTCTCATGGTCTCGAGAATAAGAAGGGATCATGTGGGAATAAAAACTTCTGAAGCACCAAAAGCTGAGTCACCCCTACTTCTTCCCTAGAGCTCTGTGGGAACAAAACCGACCTCCATTTCACTGAGGGTCTCGGAGGATAGGATCATTCTCATAGTGGCAGATCTGGACTAAGGATGGGCAAAATTGCCAACAGCATCAGATTTTCCAGTGTCTGCTGAGTCTTCCCCTGAGACATGGCTTTCCCCCATTGCCTCATGCCCATGCTCATGAATTACAAACCTCATTTTAGTGAGCCTCAGAGCAGCTGTAGATTTATCAGCCAGCCACAAGGAACATTCACACTTGTTTCAAAGTTCCTCTAAATAGCTTCAAGGTAAAGGAGGACCTTAACTTTTATTTCCCTAAGATTTTTATGGTGTCTGTCAGGTCCGTTCACTGCAATGGTGACACTGAATAAAGATGCAGTGAGAATTTTTGCAAAAATCTTTTCTTTAAAGTGATTCCCTAAAACAGGTTTTGGTTTGAATGCCTTCAGAGCACACAGCCTTCCCTAGCTTGTCTCTGTAAGCTTTCAGTACTCTGTAAAGCAAGTTTAGTTTGATTACTGGTTTTAATCTTGGGGTACGTGGAATCTACTGTCACACATTCTGTACAGGATCAAGATACTGCTAAATTAGAATAACAGCAGCACTAAAGCATGCCAACTTGTAAGGCAACCGTGTAAAAGCAAGTGTACTTTGACAAAGGAGCAAAAGTTTCAAATAATGTTATTACAGAATCTCTACAGGGAGAGATTTCAAAGAAGTAAAACACTGCACCAATTTGAGGACAGCTTCTGCTTCATTGCCACGAGAGGGAGACATACGACCAAGTATGGTTTAAGAGAGTTCTGCTCGGGTTTATTTTTTTTTAAAGACTTCATGAGAATCAGTTTAATAAAGATCTTAATAAGGTTTGACTTATTTAATCACCAAAAAAAAATAGTCACATTAAAAGATTTAACATTTCCATCGGAATTTGAAAAATAAATACAACTTGTAAAACAAGATAATTCTTATTTTTGTTTAGAATATAATACACACCAGAAGCTGTATGTAACAGGGTCCTATTTGGCCTCTATTTGCTAATTACACATTAACACATTACATGCTTCTTGACTGAGTCGCCATCCTAAAATATATGCTACACTTTCTTGTCCAATAGTTTAATTAAAGTATCTCATGCCTGATATTAAGAATCAAAGTTATGCATGTTAAAAAGTTTGCTCGTTTTGGCACCAAGCTCTGATGAATGCGACTAATTCATGTAAGTGCACTTACATAAGAATATTCTTACAGGAAACATCAGCTTTCCCTTTTCTTCCACTTTTGAAACATGGTGCATTACTAGAAGTTACTTGTTTAGGAAGCAGTTCAGTCAGTGAACTTAGATGAAAGACTATGCATGAAACATAAACATCATTATATTTTAAAATATAGTAAACTCACTTACAAAAGAGATGGCTATTTGTTGAAAACCAAAGGATAAAGTCCTCCTTGTTAAACAGAACAAGCCTACTGTTCTATTAAAAAAAACTTCAGTTTTGCTGTTCCAGTCAACAATCACCACCAAGAGTTCACGTATCCGTAAAACTGCTAGTCCAAGTGTCATTAAGCTTCTAAGGTTCATACAGACATTGATAACTATTTTTATATACCTTTATATTTTTATATATACCTTTATATTTTTACAAACCTGGGATGCTGCCTTCTCAAAGCCATCCGGGTTCAAAGATGGCATGATATGGATACGTGTGCTATGGATCAAGTTGATAATAGTTTCATTTCCTTTCTGGTATTCATTACACAAGTACTGAGCCAAGAAGATGAGCAACTCCCTTCCGACAGCTTCATTCCCATGCATATTCCCAACATACTTAAACTCCGGTTCTCCTGCAAGAAAAAGGAAGAGCATGTCTTAGAACAACACATACAAATCACCCATGGGCTAGATCGCACAGCACACCTGAGATGCAGGTATCACTGTCACTACAACCGGTCACCATATCCCCAGGATGCTACAAGCCTCCTTCAGAAAAGTGGATTTAGGTTTTTTCCTAAACTCTCACTAAACAAATAGTAAGTTATATTCAACTGTTTGCCAAAGGCAGAGAAAGAATACCAGAGGACAACACACGACAAAAAAAATACTAAGCATGGCCACTAACATTACTGCTGTTGAGATCTAATGCAATTGATGCCTCAATACTACAAAAGAGTGCCTTGATTAGATAGTTTTTCAATATATAAACTGACACTAACAGAGCTTATCTTTAACATTCTCTCAAAGATTAGACTAAGCTACTAGACTAAGCACTACACATGTTAAACTGCAATTCTTTTACGAAAGCATTGCCAGTGAACAGCTGTTGATCGGAGGGATCTGAAAAATCTTATTCAGCAGTTGTTTGGGATATTCAGCTCAGACTTTACGAAGCAAGTGCAATAACCTAACTCATAAAATGAATCATTCCTATTTAACATTCCAATAAACAGTCCAGTATTAAATATATACATAAACATTCCACATAGAATAATGAATACCTATATGGAATGATTATGTATATATTTAATGTTGATTTAATGTATTGTATTTTCACATATAACATTCAATGTATAATATGTATTCAGTATATATTCTATATAAATTCATATATATATTCAATATATCAATAAGCAGTCCGATATTCCCAATTGCTCATTAGTCACATTCTCATGACCCTAGACATGAAAACCACACAAGATAGGTCTTACAGAGGTGTGAAGGCTATACCTTTTAAAAGACTACATTTTGAGCCCTAATTCCAGAGAGGTTTTAGTACAATATAAATACCTGAATGAGATTAAAAGGATTGTCCTGGAACTAAAATGAGGAATATGCTGTTTTCTGAGTTGAAGCCCCTTTTTCCCTTATCCTTTTCTTTTTTAAATACTGTTCTGCTGCCATAATAGCTTTAAACAAACATTCTTCTGATTATGTGCTCTGAACAGTCTTTGAAGATACTTTGCAGTAGCCTTTAGCACTATCACACAGGCAAATTCAAGCCAGGAAGTGTGTTACACAAACGAGACCTAAATAATTGCTAATCAAGCGCACAGCCGTATCTACTTATGACTCTTCAGTCTGCGCTTGTTAACCTTAATCCAGTGATAAGATGCTAGCAGACAGAGGGCTATTAATACTGTGACTTCTTTCCTTCCAGCTAAGTTGTTTCTGTACATATGGATTCATCCCTGATTTTTTTTGTCAGATAGGTTAAAAAGTTTTCTAGTTTCAGTGAGATATAGCTTCGTTTTATCTGATACACACAATGGCATTACTGTGACTAAAACCCTCCATTTCCTCCTTTGGCATTGAGCTCCTATTTACTGTTTTTTCTCATCTGTTAATACCAGGGAATGCAAGAGGGCTAATTACCAAGACCATGCAATCAACCCAGTGCCATTAAAACAGATGGATACTGTTTGATAAAACACGCAGCACTGCACATCACATAGTCTCATAATTAGAATACTCATGCATATGCATACTGGCATGCTACTTATGGGAAAAGTGCTTCACAAGCTATCAGGTGAATTTGTTGCTGCGGTAAATACGAACACTGTTGCATCTTGCATTTGTGGTTTTCCCTAGGACATCACTAAGGAAGCCTGAAGGAGAAATCATTTCTCCTGATTCTCAGCCCTGTGGATTAATGCCCTGCCTTTCTCTCCCGCTTGAATTTTACAGGCCTGGCTCAAATGAAGAAATAGAAACATGTTTCCCATACGGTACTGCTTGCCCCCTTCCCCAAAGAATCATTAACAGTGTTTAGAAGGGTTCATGAAAACAGGCACAGGTTCTATAGTGAACCAAAAGTACAGCCTCATCTACAGCACATTTTCAATGGTAATGACCCGTCTCAAACGAGCATTAAAAGCAGTTCAGGAAGAGGTAAAGAGAGTCATTGGAAATACGGAAAGTCTTTCCCGTGAAAAGTAATTGAAGAAATCAGCCCCATTTTCCTTAGAAAGAATAATAAGGGACAGTCAAATATACCGGCCATTGTGGCACGCAGGAACTGGTCTGGAAAGCAGCACTTCCC